AACTTTCTGTTATTCTAACTATAAATAAGAGAAGGATTTTATAAGTGAAGATTTGAATGCACGGTTTAATCCCCCAAATGATGGTAGAACATAATATATTATTCAACTTGGAAGAAATTTTAATGAGAATATAAAGAGAGCCTTACTTCACGGTTCATTCGTTTGTTAGATTTTCACATTTAAGAATAAATTATTGAACTTGTGACAAATATTTGAAAATAAATTTGTTTTGCACAATTATTCTCAATATCTAGTTATATAAATCATTAGTCGTAAAAATATGTTGTAACAATCCTTAATTACTGTCAACACTCTTTGTGTGTGTGTGTGTGTGTGTGTATTACTTATTTATTTTAAATAAATTTGAACTTTACCTGGAATATATCTGAATGCATAAATATAATGAACGTACTGTTTATTTAAAATATCAATATTCATTAAAATGATAGTAATTTTAATGAGCAAAAAAATATTTAGAAAGAAGAACGTGATTGAATATTATCAACGTTTTTTCTCTTAATATGAGGCATTTAAAGAAAAGTTTAAATTTATTTTGTCAAGTAAATTATTAAAAATGAATTCATTCTTTCTACTGAAATGTAAAATAGAACACAGCATTGATTCGACTCCCGTTCTTCAAACAACAGATCAATGGAAGTACAATCTTTGCATGCTTGGTTAAAAAATATATATTCCTATCTTAATCTTTGGAGTTAAAAAATGTTAGCTTCATTTCTTTCACATAAAAAAAAGATTTATACTTTACGAAAGTGAACATTTATTTCCTTTTTGCTTTCGACTTTTTAGGAAACAAAATTGTAGAAAAATTTTGTTTCCTCGGGTCATCAAAATACTTTACGATCTGAAAGTCGTGCTCTGAATGTTTAAATGCATTATCCAACGACAATTATGCGTGTAATGTTGAATCATACTTTCAAATGGGAAGAAAATATATTAATACATCCATTTATTTTAGGAACATACTATTTTTAAAAATTTATTTATCTCGTTAATCGTATTTCCTTGAAATATGGCAGCACTATGCGCAGCAATGGTTATGCGCATAATAAATATATATGTTTTTTTTTTAAATCTGTACATTTAATTTACTTTTTCCGAGTATTACAAATACGTTTTTTCATGCATCTTACTTCCTTTTCATCATCCCATTATAATACTATACTACCATGGAAAGTTTACACTTCATTCTCATCTTTATAAAAAAGGGTACTGTGGCAAGACAGATTGTAGTCCAAAACAAATTACTCTTTCCGTAATAATAAATAAATAGAATAAAACAGATTTTGGCCACACAAACTTGGTCACCACACAATAAAAAATAGATGCATCTAGAAAACTCTAGAAGGATCTTGGATGACAATTTTGAGGAAAATTTAGAAGTTTCTGTAGAAAATTCTTCCCAGCCATTTTAAATAGAATTGAAGTCAAACATTTGACATTGACGGTGCGCTTTATTTGCCTTATGTTTAACATTTGTGAGATTTTTAAATCTATAATATTGTAGTTTTATACTTATCGGTTAATTATTTCCGATTAGAAGAGACTACTTTAATTACGAGATAGTTCCCGAATTCATTGCAATATACTCCGAAAGAAACTGCCTGTTAATTGGGGGGACCTTTTCTATCTTTGAAATATGAAAAACTATATTTTAATATATTATAATTTATAGATTATTCATCACTGATTTATAAGTTACGCGAATTATAAAATTTAAATATCTCACACACAAAAAAGTTACATGGTACATTTTCCACATATATCAAACATTTGAAATGAGAATCAGAATAAGTTTTAGAAACAGAAATTATTTCGCACTGGGAACATTTTATTTTGGAATGTTCAAATACAAAGTATTTAAAATGGCTTTAATATATGCCTAAAAATCAGTAATAACATACATCTCAGCTTTCTTTTTTAATTCCTTGATTCCCGAAACAAGATTGTAAATAATATTTAGTTTTTATAAATCAGTTAAAATTTTATATAGATTATGAAAAGAGAAATAAACCTCATAAATCAAACTTGCATTTTTGCTTGTTTATTTGCTTTGGGTTGAATTTTTATGCGCTTGATGCAAAAAGTATGGTGAATCTTCTTATTGTAGTTAAATGGAATAACGTGGAATTGGAAATTTGATCATGTTTTTCGGTTATACATTTCTCTGTTGCAATTTAAATTGAATAGAAATAAATATATTTATTTAGATAGAAAGAAATGAAAGCACAAAATTCGTGAAAGTACAGTCAGATGGACAAAATAATCAAAGCACTCTTCTAGAAGATACATTTCAGGAAGTAAAGGATCTTAAGAAAAATGTTTTTTTAACGATGAAACGTATTCAGATGCAGTTTGTTGATTACATTACTAAGAAAGTATATAGTACTAAAAATGTATTCAAGTTATTGAAATTCTACCAATATGTTTATATTCTACAAATAAAAAAATGAGAAATTACTTGAGTTTTTGACTACTAAATATAATACTTTTTGAACTAATTTTTTTATTTAATTATGAATGAAGACACAGGTATGAGAGAGAGTCATCATAATTAACTAGTTAAGGCATTTTTGAGTACACATTTTGCTGATTAAAATAACTTTTAATTGAAAATTATAAGCCTTAAATAACAAAAAATAAACTAAATAATTCAAATACTGCATAGAAAAGCAAACATATTTTAACCCTTTATCGATCGACGGTACTTATAAGTACCACTCACTTTAAAATTACGTAGAATAACCATTTGTACAAATATTCTGACTATACTTAGCAGGAATATTCTTTGAAATCCACTCTTCCAAGATATATGGCAATACAGGTTCTATGATGAGTACTTTAGCGGGAAAGTCGAACAGTTTAATAGGAGAAATTGTGTTTTCAGCTGACGGCGTTTTCAGCGGATTGCGAGGATTATCATTTTTGTCCCGAAAAAGTAGTTAATGTCAAAATTTAAGCGACTTATTTTTCTTTTGTATGTAAATTAAGACCTTAGAAAACGATTTGACTATTTATTTTAAATGAACAGTGTATATAATTAATTTTACAGTTGAATATCTTTAATTAATTAATTAGCTCTAACTAATTAAATTTCCCAAAGTTGAGTATTTTGTTTATGTATATCCCTTAATTTGAATGTAGTGATTCAAAAAAAATATCCCATGAAAAAATAACAGCAGTAAATCATAATGCTGTCGATAAAGGGTTAATTTGTATTCTATCTTACAGTATTTAGTACAATGAACCATAAAATATGTTATGTGTCACTATTTTCAACCTTTTTTTGGCCCATGAACCGGTAACATTTGTGAAGAAATCTCATGAACCAATGCGGGTTTTTTTTTTCAAGGTGAGCAAGAAATCGACGCAGATTGTTCTGCTACGGGCAGTCAAACGGCGTGTGTACGAAAACTCACATCAAATTGAAATGGAACAAATATTAACATAAAGTTTTGCTACAGTTTGAAAAAGCGGGCACAGAAACGCATGCAATGTTGGTGCAAGTGTCTGGAACAGACGCTGTTAGCAGAAAATGCGCTTACGGTTGGTTGAAACGTTTTCGAGAGGGAAAGGAAACCATTGATGATGAACTACTTTCGAGTCGACCCTCGACAAATGTGACTACTTACCCCATCATGTGAGTGCGTCAGATACTGTTGCAAAATCGCTGACTGTCTTTACGATGGATATCGGAGGAATCGTTAATTAACTAGAATATTGTTAGTAACACTATACAAAAAGATTTAGGTATGCCCAAGATTTATTTCCATTTGTGCCGCACTCAATTGATGGACGAGCAGAAGGAAAGCCCTACGGACACTGCTAAGAATTTCATTGAAACGTGTAACCAAGATCCAACCTTTCTGCAAACCATCCTCACATGAGAAGAGAGATGATACTATTGGTAGAGTCTGGAGTTGAAGCCGCAAAGTACGGAATGGTGCTCACTGGCTTTGCCGGTCACAAAAAGAGCAGCTTACAGAAGTCCAGGATTAAGACACTCTTGATTGTGTTTTTGGACAGTAATGACATGATCTATACCAAGAATTCTTCCCAGAAGAGCAAACTGTCAACACCGAATTTTATGAAGCTGTTAGAAGTGATCACTGCTGCACATCCAACGTATTTGCAAACAGTTGTATAGGACTGGTAAGTGGAGTCTATTGGATAACAACGCATGCACCCATATTGCGATCCGTGTAAGCAAGTTCTTGGCTCAATTCTGTGTAAATATCATAATACATCCACCGTACTCACCTGATCTATCCCTAGAGGACTTCTTTTTGTTTCTTCTTCTTAACGAGATCCTGAAGGTAACTCGTTTTGCAGACTTATCAGACATCCGATGACGTTTGACATCTGTGCTTCGGTCCATTCCAAAAGAGAACTTCACTGACTCACTCCATTAGCCTTATTAATATTGTCAACAGTATATTGTGGTCAATGAACATTATTTTAAAGGAGATTGTGAAAGTATTTTGTTCCCATGATTTTTTTCATTTGTTTTATGTTCTGATTCACTGTACTTTTTAGACGCATTTTGTATATTATATATGTATTTTATAAATATATCTTGAGCCTATTTCTTGGTGCACCCCAAGTATTACATAGGGTACTCTGTGTATACGTACTTTACTTTGTAAAGCACTAATATAAGCCAATTCACAAATTACAAAAAAAAGTGTGTGTGTGTACTTAAGTACGCACGTAAGAAGTTATACTTCTTTGGAATAACAAGATTAAAATCTTTCTAAAAATCTTGAGCAGAGTTAAATACTAATCTTCAGTTAATCGGACCAGCAAAACCTGAGATAATCACGATTTAAATAAATTTAAGCACCCCCACACAGGGACAATAGGACCAATAATATGGGGAGGGAGTCGAAGGCGGGAATGATCTGTCCTGTTCTGCATATTTCTAGACAAAGCATTTTCGTATCCATTCCTACGGAAAGCAAAGCAAAGGTTCGCCGACGCCAGGATATAGCTCAGTGGTAGAGCATTCAACAGCAGATCGAGAGGTTCCCGGTTCAAACCCGGATGGTTCCTTCTTCAGGGAAGTGAAGAGAAGTATTTCTTTGAGAAATTCGAAGGCGGGAATGATTTGTCCCGTTCTGCATATTTCTAATCAAAGCATTTTCGTATCCGCTCCTGCCGAACGTAAAGCAAAGGCTCTCCGCCGCGGGGTGTATAGCTCAGTGGTAGAGTATTCGGCTGCAGATCATGAGGTCTCCGGTTCAAACCCGTGTGTCCCCTTCTTCAGGGAAGTGAAGAGAAATATTTTTTCTGAGAATTTCGAAGGGAGTAATGATTTGTCCCGTTCTGTATATATTTCTAGGTAAAGGATTTTCGCATCCGTGACGGTGTGCGCGCGCATTGTAAAAATTTACCCTCATCCTATTTCTCTAACGCCCCAAAAGAAGTATAACTTCAAAAATCTTCTTTAAGTGAAGTTTTTTTTTTTTTTTTTTT